TCAATCAGTAAAATTAATTCGGTTGCATGTTTTATCAGTTTTGTAGAATTACGATTGTGGCGCATAATACAAAAAACTATACCATTTTTACACTTTTATTGTTCCCTTCCGAAATTCTCTGATGTTATATTAAAAATTCACTGACAATTTTTGACGCTCATTCATTCGTCTTCGCCATCTTGCTCTTTCCTGTCATTCTTTTTTCCCTTTCTTACCGTTTTCTCTCGCTCACACCTTAACGCATCGTTCCACGCTGGTTTCGTTCACACCAATCCCACAATTTTGCTTACAACAAAGTTGCTTTGTTGTCACGTGGATGGCGTGGATTACGCGATGCTTAGATGTTTCTATTTGCACAAAGTCGATTATAAGGAAAGGGTTGCTGGGCCGCGTGGAGCGGTATTTATTATTTACATTTGAATTTTTATTTGTTTTGTACGAACTATAAATAATGACCTTGCATCGCCTTGACCGCTCGCGACCTCGGCGCGGGTGCGAAAAACTCGTTTCCACGTAATTCGCGTGTTTTCTAGAACGTTTTCGGATTATTAATAGAAAATTCAACGCCATCTGTTGCGTTAATGGCGTAGATTTGTTCCGAAATGAAACTAATTTTTTTTTTGTTTTTTTTTGTTTTACTATCATAGATAAGGATTTAAAAAAATCACGTTGTGTACAGAATTATTTCACGGCCAACGTACCTAGATAAATATATTACAATCAGCGCCATCTAGTAATGAATAGCCAATCTAGATAACGCTGTGATAATTCTCGTATATTTCTAATGTGCCCGCTAGATGGCGGTGTATGGTAAGTTTCTTTTGCGGCTCAACAGATGGCAATGTGTGGTTACGGTTTGACAAGTTTGAATTTATTTACGAAGCAGTTGTTATTTTTTTTGCTGTACTAAATTAAATAAGTTCGTGTCTATAGCATAGCAATTTTATTCATTCTCGTGTTTCTGTCGGTCGATTAAATATTATAGGAATGTATAATCACGCCGACCGACGTGAAGAGTTTGTCTCGGATTAGTGAAGTTAATTGCCTATCGGAACATATGTGCGTCACAATGTCAATACGACCTTAAGTCTCAGAACTTAAGTCTCAATTTTATTACGGCTGTCGCATGCTTCAAAACGCAACGCATGGATGCTCAGTGGCTGAAATAGGTACCCTGTGTGCTTAGTGCGTATTTTCTAACGTTCTCGATAGCGTAAAAGTTAACTCAAATATGTATGGAGTTGGAACGTTTGCCTACGTTTGCCGTTAGGGGCGCTGTCCTAACTGCGTACAAATTGGAGTTCACTTTTACGCTATCGGGAACGTTAAAAAACTCGCACTAATCACACTGGTAGTATCTACCCTGGTCGACTAATCTACAACCAGTAATTTAACCACACCGCTATCCCGCCCTATTAAAATTTATCGACCCCTAAAAATAAAACATCAAAAATTAAATGTTAAAAATCTTAAAATAATTAATAATAATAGACATTGAAAAGTTTGGTGACCTCTAAGCAATAATTAGTCAATCCAAAATCGACCTTAAGTAATCACAATAGCTATCAAAATTCTCGTGCTCGGCCAAAATTGCTATTCTTAAAGGCAATTTTAATGTGACCTCTTTGTTCCTAAACGCATAGTTTGAGAACAGCTGGCACAATTCTTCCATTTCTTTAAATTAGTGTTAGCCCGATGATTCGAAATTCAACTTTATTCAATGATTCCACAAGACTTGAATTATTTTATGTAGTACTTATTCTCTTTTGTTTTTTGTATGAATTGTATGTATTTGTATGTTTTTTTTATTGTTTTTTTTTATTGCTTAGATGGTTGGACGAGCTCACAGCCCACTTGGTGTTAAGCGGTTACCGGAGACCATAGACATTTTTTTTTTTATTGTCCTTGTAGGCAGACGAGCATACGGCCCACCTGATGGTGAGTGGTTACCGTCGCCCATGGACTTCAGCAATGCCAGGGGCAGAGCCAAGCCGCTGCCTACCAACGTAAATGCGCCACCCACCTTAAGATATAAGTTCTAAGGTCTGAGTATAGTTACAATTGATACCAATCAAACCCGTTTATCTATTAGAAGGAAAAGGAACTCAAATATTTCCTCTTACTCTATTTATTAACGCGCTCGTCCGATATCTAGACAAATATCCAGGAGTCAAAGGCTATTTGGTTTAAGCGTCATTTCGCTTTACACGCGACATTTATAAATATTTACCAAGCTTCATCTCTGCACTCCCCTAAGGTAGACTGTTAGAGAATGCCTATGGCATTAAGTCCGCCTTTATACTTTCTAGTATAAGAAGTTATAAATAAATAAATAAATTTATCTTTGTAATTAAAGGTCCGTGTTATTCGGTATCAGCATCAACAGCTCGATGTTTTTAATTGAACTTCAATTAAGTTTACTCCATTCGAATAATTGAAGAAGTATTTTTTTTTGAGATTTTTTTCAAAATTTTAATCTTTAAATGGCTCTTCTTTTGTGAAGTTACAAAAATGTCGCTTAAACCAAAGACCCTTTCAGTCTTTGATATATTAAATATAATATCTATTCAACGGAATCTTTGAAAGTATGTAATTTTCGGTGGCTTCAAATTAGATATAAAAAATTTCACATCTCAAAGACTGATGACGTCACAATAAGTGCATTACCTCCACATTAAAACAGTTTTTAGGGCGAGAAGATTCTCGAACGCACGTTTTTCTGATCACTTAGTATAATCACATAGTCTTCGATAAATAACATTGAAAAAAAAATCCAATATCGTTACATAAAAGTAAATAGACTTAAAAAAAAAACTACTAATTAAAATGCGCGCCATGCTATATCAAGAATTAGATAACGATGCCCCACTGAGTTCAACGCAGTGCCCCCTAGTGGGGGAGCGCCGGAAATAAATTAAAACGCACCACCCGAAACCCACCCCAAATTTTAAGGCAATAAGTGCCGAATTTCCATAAACCGTGACTGTCGCTTACGACCGTTCGCAATTCAATCCGAACGCTAATTCCAATATTTGAATTCCGAAACGAATTCGATGGTGAAATGTTAGAGAGATTTAGTTTTTATTTACGAAAGAATAAGGCTCACATTTATTTTGTATTGTTTCTTTTTTATTGTATCTTTCACGAACGATTCCTAGCATCGAACGTGTTATTAATACGTGTTTGAGTCAATTAAAAATGGCCGCTGTTAGATGAAAATTAAAGGAATTAATATTTATTTATAATTAATTTTGTGTGATGATATTTTGTAATAATATCGCTCCATTGTGTGATTGTTTTTAAGCACAATCAAATTTAAATGAATTCATGTCCAAGTTTAAAGGAACTGTACAGGAGAGCCATTTAAAGGTTAAAATTTGAAAAAAATTATAACAAAAAAAAACATCTTTAGCTATTTTAATGTTATAAACATTAATTGAAATTCAAACAAAAACATCGAACCGTTGATGCTGATACCAAATAAAACTGACCCTTAATTACAGATAAATGTTTTGTGTTTTCCGAGCGCTATGACAAGTCCTTCTTCAAACGAGGCTTGCGGAGAGTACTTTATGGTAGTCAGCGGTTTGGCTCTGCCCCTGGCATTGCTGACGTCCATGAGCGACGGTGACCACTTACCACCAGGTGGGCCGTATACTCGTCTGCCTACAAAGACAATAAAAAAAAATTAAAAAAAAATGTCGCTTTAACCAAATAGTCTTTCTTCCTTGGATGGAATTTCATTAAAAAGAAATATTTGTACGGGTAGGTTCCTCTGGTTTGTATAGTGACTTAAAACTCAAATCTCAACGTGGTGCTCACGTAGTGATGTACTGTCGCGGACACCATTAAGTCCAAAAAAAGTGCACAAAATGCGATTCAAATTGGGAAGCGATGCCGTATCAGATAATAAAACAATAAGTTTTTTAACGTTCTCGATAGCGTAAGAGTTAACTTACATTTGTATGGATTTTGGAACGTTTGCATACGTTTGCCGCTAGGGGCGCTGTTCCAACTGCATACAAATTTGAGTTAACTTTTACGCTATCGAGAGCGTTAAAAAACTCACACTAAGCACACGGAGTCGGGCTTTTTAATACGATAGCATTATTATACTGAATTGAAGCCCTCTAAATTCCTCGCCGGATCTTCTTAGTGGATCTCGATTACGATCCAGTGGTAGATTCAGTGAAGCACTGCTCTTGCTAGGGCTAGTGTTGGCAAATTCTCTCGCGGCGAGCTCATGTGCTCACCTGTCCAGACGTGTCTGAAATAGGCCCTTAGGCTACCAGCGAATAGGCAGTGGAAAGAAAAGTTGCCTGTCGAAACTTTTGCCTATCAGACCGTGCACAGACCCAACTATCTATACTCTATAACTAATGATAATAATAATCTATAACTAATGATGATAATAACTAATTATAATTATAAAAAATGATAAATAAATAAACAAAGGTAATCAGTTATTATTATGTTTGCTCATCTACATATATTAATACGTGAATCAAAAACTTTGTATCCCTTTTTACGAAAATTGCGCGGACGGAGGAGTATGAAATTTTCCACACTTATAGAGAATATAGAGAAGAAGTGCACAATGCTAATTTTTTTTTTAATAATGCATAAAAGATACATTAAATCAATAAAGAAAATATTACACACTACATACCATGTATTTGACGCACACACGCATGCATACTATTTATTGTCAAACTTTTGTTCTGACGTCTGTTGTCAAATTGAGATTAAATATTGTTTGTCTTTGTTAATATTTTTTATAGTGTAGTCTTGGCGAAATTTGTGATTATAGAAGTATAAAAAACAATCATAATAGTGTACAAACTTACAATTCTAATTATTTATTGTCGAATTTCGACTACTGCGGGACCTCTAGTATTTTATAAATTCACTTAACAAATAACTTCATCTTAATAAATTGTAATTGTAAAAGTAATTTTCATTTGATTTGTTTAAGGAACTTTTTTCTTTTTCTTTCCCAGGACATGGATCTCATCGAGGTGCTCTGGAAGCAGGATGTGGACATGGGATTCTCGCTGGAAGACCCAATACAGCCGGTCAGTATTTATCAATATTGTTGCCACTGCATTGACCTGGTTATTGGAGATTGTGTTCATTAGAGTTTCTCGCCGGATCTCCTCAGTGGGTCACGTTTCCGATCCGGTGGTAGATTCTGCGAAGCACGGTTCTTGCTAGCTCTACTAGCTCGCTGAATCTAGAATAACCCCTCGAGGTTACTAGGTACGAAAAAAAAGGGGAATTTTTCTTTTCGTGTTAAGGTGGAACCGTGTTGTAAAATACCGCGTTATATGATGGTTATATCGAAGTGTGATCTTTAAAAATGTTACACAAAATTACTGCTACATCCACGGCACTTGTCTCTTTAATATTTACCTGAACTTTTAGGAAGGTCCGCAAGCCACCAAGGTATTGGGGGAGGAAATCGACAAGGAACTGCTGAAGGCCAAGGATAGGATCCAGAAGAACTATGAAGATGAAGAGCTGAAGAAGGTTGAGATAGAGAAGGTCAAGGCTTCGTTGTTGGATCCCGAAGTCAAAGAGGTGAGTTTTTTTTCCGGCTGCATGCACGAAAAAACATGACTCAGGCGGCGTTACCTCGCTCTGAGGCGTTCCATTTAAGGCTTGAAGTGCAAGCGAGAGCGCGCAACGAGCGACAAAGAGGCACAATCGGCCTCCGCGTTCGGCAGCGTTCGACATCTGTCTCTCTCCTACTTGAGTGAGCGATGCATCCGCGTGGACAGCTGCTATACAATAATACATTTACATATATATCTATCAAACAAATAAAATTAAAATTTTCTTTTGAAAAATGAAACCATTCCATCAGTATTTTCTTATGACCTTGTCACGTTCAACTATCGTCAGTAAACCGACTTTACAGACAACCAATTTTTTTATTGCTTAAGTGGGTGAACGAGCTCAAAGACCACCTGGTGTTAAGTGGTTACTGGAGCGCATAGACATTTACGACGTAAATGCGCCACCCACCTTGAGATATCAGTTCTAAGGTCTCAAGTATAGTTACAGCGGCTGCCCCGCCCTTCAGACCGAAACGCGTTACTGCTTCACGGCAGAAATAGGCGGGGTGGTGGTACCTAGCCGCGCGGACTCACAAGAGGTCCTAGTAAGTTGAGCGGTTCGTTAACGCGAGCTAAACTGTGGTGCGGGGTAAGGCCTTCAGGAGCGTCAGCCACAGTACTCTAAATCAGCCTTTCCCAAAGTGGGCGATAACGCCCTCTTCTGGGCGCTGCAGGCCTAAAGGAGGGCGGTAAGAGACCCAGAAAAAAAAGGAGGCGTTGTGTAGAGGCTTGGGAGGCGATTTGTAATTTCATCTAGGAGGGCTCTTAGAAACCGACTGAGTTCTCGCTATAGTGTTTTTTGAAGTAGGTGAAAAAATGGGAGCGCTAAAAAATTGTTTATTCTCAAAGTGGGCAGTAGAAAAACTAAGTTTGAGAGCCCCTGCTCTAAATGGACTTGTTCCATTGTGACCGCGCGTATACTAACTAGGTCACACTAGGGTAATACGGGTGATACTTGATCTACAAAGACTCTTTTAAGCAAAAATCGCGTCGTTCGATACAAGCATAACGAAGACCAGATCTGATATCGCCTATTATTTTCTCCGTAGGATGATCCCTGGGCTGGCCTATCTTACACCGTCGACACGGAAACCGGTGAGTGATTTCTTTGTATTGAATTGAAAATGTATGTTGATGTGGTTATTTTTATTCGTTTTTTTTCCTACCTATGCTGATAGCCTTGGGAGGCTATATCAACTTTTCCTTGACGTGTAGGTGAGCTCACGGGGCTCAAACCGGGTGTATTGCTAACACTGGCCTTAGCAAGAGCAGTGCTTCGCAGAATCTACGACCGGATTGGAAACGCGACCCACTGAGAAGATCCGGCGAGAAACTCAGTGGGCTGTGTCTATGGGTTCATTGTCATGTGTGATGATGAGTATTAGGTGAATGTCGTGGATATCACTCGAGCGTTTGTTCTGACTTCAACTTAACTCGTAGGCGACCTTACGGGGCTTAGCCTGAGTGAATTTGCCGATACTAGCCTTAGCAAGAGCAGTGCTTCGCTGAATCTACTACCGGATTTGAATCACTGAGAAGATCCGGCGAGAAACTCAGTGGGCTTAGTCTGTTGTTTATTATTTAGCTGAACAAACTGCCCTTCTGTTATATGAAGTGGTAACAGGAGCCCGTAGACATTAGCAACGTAAATGCCTAATAGGCAGAACGGTGGTATCAACCCGAGCGGTCTCTAAATACCCCCTTCCACTCTTCACGACATGAGCCTTAAGTTTAAATTATTACAAGCTAAAACCAGTTTCGTTATATAAATACGTCATACACGGAAACCTCCCCGATATTCCCCCAACGATATTAAATAAGGGTTCGGCGCCCCCTGGCATTGATAGCGCCAATAAATAAGGGTTCGGTTTATCAGCCTTATGTGTTACAGAGGGGTGGATTCACATGAGGGGGCGCTTTCAAGTGGCAAATTTATGTTCCGATATTTTTGTTGTGCTTTTGTGGGTGCTTTTATATGATTGAAAAAGCACTGGTGGCCTGGAGGCCTTTCCAGTTTCGCTAGGACACGTAGGCGAGCAAAAGCTCAGGCAGGAGGGGGGGGGGATTAGCTATCAGCTGCCCGAGCGCCTCCGAAAAGACTTAAACTCTAGAGCAGCTGCTTCGCGAATGAATCTACTACCGGATCGAAACTCAGCGGGTTGATGTATAGGTTTGGTTGCACGTCGAACTGGGTCTTTTCTGGGTGCTTTAAGTGGTGTAAGTCTGTAATAGCAACAGTCTCTCCCACTTTTTACTGGTGGTAGGACCTCTTGTGAGACCGCACGCGTAGGTACCACCACCCCGCCTATTTCTGCCGTGAAACAGTAATGCGTTTCGGTTGGAAGGGTGGGGCAGCCGTTGTAACTGTACTTGAGACCTTAGAACTTATATCTCGAGGTGGGTGGCGCATTTACGTCGTAGATGTCTATGGGCTCCAGTAACCACTTAACACCAGGTGGGCTGTAAGCTCGATCAACTATCTAAGCAATAAATAAATAAAAAAGTGGATGCCGTAAGATGAGTGAGGGAGTCATGGGAGATTGGACAGCAGGTTTCTCTGAGCATTAAACCAGTGCGCTGCGATCATTTCCTAGTGGTAAATTGTAGGTAGTATTGTAAAACCGCTGTGTACTGGCGGCAGTCAATCTGGTTTCGAAGCATTGGTGCAGTCGTGGTTCGTGCACTCAGACTTAGACTCCTGTCTCGTGCTGCGTCGTAGTATTCACCTTGATGACTTCAGCTGCCACTTGAAGCTTTTTTTTTATTGCTTGGATGGGTGGACGAGCTCACAGCCCACCTGGTGTTAAGTGGTTACTGGAGCCCATAGACATCTGGCTGAATCATTAGCTAGTACACGATACAAAGACGGTTAGACGGAAGGAAGCCCGGTGAACCGCGAGGAGTTTAAGCACGGAATCATATATCCTGCTATACCTCACCAAAACCAAAAGAACCATCAAATTCTAGTTTCACCTCGTACGATTCTTTCGATGGCTTACCGTCGGACGGTCCGCGAGCCAGTAAGCAGCAGCCTAAAGCATGTTCTTAAAGAACAAAAGACCGTATATTTTTAAGGGTATGTTGGAGCCAAATTTGCTTCGTCATCTTTATAATGGTGCGCCCGAGGGGGGCAGGCAGAGACGCCCCCGGGGAATCGAAACAAACGTTCGGCTGTATTTGATGTCCAAATTGTAACGGACGCACAGACATTAATATTAAAATTCGATTATTTCTTAGTAAATTTTTTTTTCTCTTACAATAAGTTTTTATGTTCCATTTTGTGACTGATGTGTGAACGAAGCCTCATAAAAAAATTATTGCCCTAGTAGGCAAACGAGCGTAAGGCCCACCCGATGGTGAGTGGTTAATGTCGCCCATGGACTTCAGCAATGCCAGGGGCAGAAGCAAGCTCATACAAATTGCCGCGTCAATTCCTACGTTCGCAGCTAAAGATTTCTTGATTCGCGAATCAAATCGGTACATGCACATTAATAATAAGGATTCCAATATGTAGGGGCTTCAAATTTATATCTTTTGTCAACGCGTCGTCAAATGAATTAATAATAAAGTAAAATAGACCTTATTACGACTGTTTCTAAAGTATGTTTTTATTATGTCACGTACGGAACGTATCGCCTATAATCCCATATATGTAAATTACCATTCCACATTCACGTGTTTTTGTATTCGCGGCGTATTTACGGAACATATAACCAAGCGAATAAGCAGCTTTTATTGTATTTTAGAGAAAGAGAGAGAGAGAATATATTTACTTTATTGCACACTAAAACACAATTAACATTAGAAAACAGTCAACAAGCAAATACTTACTGGTGGTGGGACCTCTCGTGAGTCCGCACGGGTGGGTACCACCACCACGCCTATTTCAGCCGTGAAGCAGTAATGCGTTTCGGTTTGAAGGGTGGGGCAGCCGTTGTAACTATACTGAGATCTCACAGCTCATTTCTCAAGGTGGGTGACGGCATTTAAGTTGTAGATGTCTATGGACTGCGGTAACCACTTAACACCAGGTGGGCTGTGAGCTCGTCCACCCATCTAAGCAATAAAATAAAATACATTTGTACAATAGGCGGTCTTATCGCTAAAAGCGATGTCTTCCAGACAACCGTTTGATTTACAGAAATTCTAGAAAATATAATGATACAGAAGGTATTTTGCGGTGTACTATTAATAATATTATTAAAGAAAATACATAAATACAATAAATAGATTTACACCGTTTACATATAACATGAAATCATTAATATGATTTATATACTATAGGTAATATACTTACTTACATGCTAATATAATTTGGTTTTAATTAAAACGTAAACCATTAACTACTAGCTGTGATCCTCGGTTTCGTTCGCGTTATCAAATAAAATGTCAGTGTAGTTTGCTGTGAGAAAGAGAAGTTTTTTTTTCGGAATAAAAGTTAGCCAATGTCACTGTACTGATCTAATCCTATATCAAATTTAAAAATAATATTGTTTTTGTTTCTATAATTGAAGTCGCAAAAATTGTAATTTGGGTAAAAACAAACCCCCAAATATTGTAATTTGCGTGATCACTGATGTTGAGGATTTTAATGTTTTAAGCTGTAACCGGTGGGTTCCGTTTTGCAGAAAGAAAGGAAGGCTTACCGTCGAGACGGTGACAGCTGTCTGATACGGAACCAATATAATATCTCCACTGATATAAACTTAAGTTTTACATAACATCATTTTAATTCGAAAAAAATATTGGTTTTTTTTCTTCTATAATCGAACCCGCAAAAATTGTAATTAGCGTAAAATCAAACCCGCAAAATTTTAATGTTTTAAGCTTTCACCAGTGGGTTCCATTTAGTAGAAAGAAAAGACGGCTTACCGTCGAGACGGTGACAGCTGTCTGATACGGAACCATTACATCTCCGTTGATATAAACCTAAGTTTTACATAACATCATTGTTAGACACAAACAAATGGTCCATACGTTATTTATATATATATACATATATATAGTGCATTGTACATTTCGGATAGGTACATTGTCACAAAATTTATGATTAATGCATTCCACTGAACGTCTCAATTCCGTTGGGGAAATATGATCATTAATAACTCTTATTGTTGTATTAAAATCTTTTCATGGGCAGCTAACGCTCTCGATATTGTAGCAGGAGAGGTCAGTGGTTCTCAAATTTTAAAAATGTTCACGCATAGTATGCAATAGTGGTCTGAGACGACTGGTGCATAGGTAACCCTCCTATAAACACGGTAGATACGTTCTTTTTTCTTCTTCTTGTTGCTTAGATTGGTGGACGAGCTCACGGCCCACCTGCTGTTAAGTGGTCATCGGAACCCGTAGACATCTACAACGTAAATGCCGCCACCCACCTAGAGATATAAGTTCTAAGGTCTCAAGTATAGTTGCAACAGCTGCCCCACCCTTCAAACCGAAACGCATTACTGCTTCACGGCAGAAATAGGCAGGGCGGTGGTACCTACCCGCGCGGACTCACAAGACGTCCTACAACTAGTAACCAACTTACACCTACAAAGTCGCATGGTGTGCGAAACAGTTTTGTGTGAGACTAACTTAGTGAGTTAAGTCGCTTTTCACGAGGGGAACGGAAAGAGAGGGGAGGTGGGGGCTATTTTACCGCGACTCGCCGTCGCTGTGCCGCATGCCAATTCAACACCAATAAAAAAAGTAAACAAACGCACGTTTGTTCTCATAGTTTCGACGTAAATATGCTTAACATTTTTTTGTTATGTTAAAAAAGTTTGAGAGCCGCTGTCCTACCTATCAAAGAGTCATCCGGCTGCATCTTTAGTTTATTATTCATAAATCGTGTATTTGTATTGCTGCTTTCTTCCTTTTTCGTTCGTGGAAAGGATAATGCGAACGAATTAAACAGAATAAAAATTAAAAAAAAAATACTTTTATATATTTTTTTTGTTTCTTCGTGATAATTTGATGATTTTTCTTTGGGCTGTTTGGTTTGAGACGACGTCGTACTCTGAGTTGCATATGCTATTCTTCATCAGGACCGGAAGACGACAAATATCACGATTTCACGTCATTACGGATCCTCCCGATCCATTAAC